GGACTGCAGACTGGCAGATCGTCACTGCGGGGCATACATTCTCCGAACTTAATCTACACTGTCGCATTTTGTAGTTCCTCCTTTTATATTTATTATTATATATTTTTTTTAAATTGTAGAATATGTTATGAACGTGCCATTTAGATCAGGAATTTTTCGGTTTCGTTAATTTATACACGCTTTAGGGGATATTTTTCGAGTTTTGGTAACTGGAAATGATACATTACAATGAAATTTATGCAACTTTTAATTGAATGTCCGATAGATAGTTTTCAAATGGTGGAATTTCTGTTTTGTTCGTGAAATAGTAACGATTTCGTTGGCGGAATCTATTCAGAAATATTTAACCATTCGTCAGAGTTGATAACAAATAGTTTTTAATAACTATATTTATTGTTTTCTGTAATGTGATATTCCATCAATTTAATAATAAAAGTTTTCTAAATGCCCAAACATTAGTAACAAAAGTTTCATTTACAAATGGACCTAATACGTGTATTTACGTGTAAAAAAAACATATAGGATATATATATATATATATAGATCTACATATCAAATTATTAAAGAAAATCTTAATTTTATAAAATTCTTTAGCGATTATTTGATTTTAATATGGTAATTATTGATCGACGGATCTATTTGAATATTGAGAACTTTTGCATTTATTAATGAATTTTCTTTATATACGACTAAACAATTTGAAGAACTTCGTATCGAGAATAATTAAATTTAAGTATTTGTTTAACGCGATTAATTATTGTGGAAGCATTTTTATCTAACAAGAATTCATTATTTTTTAAACTGTGAATGACTCCATAACAATCATTGAAGCTTAAATTTTGTTACGTATAAAGTTTCAAGACTGCTAGAAAGCAATTACAAATGTTTAATGAGAAACTTAATGATTTTAAATACATTAAATTATAAAAATTAATAATTCATATGACATTTAAAGTGCAGTATGCCATAAGAGTAAGGATATTTGGAGCTTCCAGTTTAATAAGCCCTACAGTATTTTGGGAATTGTATCAAAATGGCAGAAAGCTAATGGTAGCTACTGAGAAATAATTAAGTAACACTTTTATCTGAAATTGTTCTTAAAGTAAGACAGATTTCGTGAACATCCACTACAGCAAAGTAAATATGGGGCTCAGGAGATAGCCTAAACTTTAATCGCCTTAACTGAAACGTGTGTCTTTGCTATCGATTCCCTCGACGGTAGAATGAAACATTTACTTGCTTTTCTTTTATTTTTTTACTTTTATATATTCATTTATTAATGATATCTAGATTATTATTAGATTAGTACATTCATATCAGTGTCAGTCGGAATAACTGTTAACTCCCTTATGTATAATTGAGTGAATTATAGTGGCTAATCATGTAAGATAAGATAAGAACCACCAGAGAAGATTAATGAGAGAAAAAAAATAAGCAAAAATTTTTCTTGCTCATATTTCTTCCAGAGTTCATTTTGTTATAGTTTTCTTGAATTATGTCTACACGGCGATCATTTCGCTTTTAAGAATGTTCGTTATTTTGTAATAATTATGCTGTGATGTACTAAATTATATGAATTTCTGTCTCGATTTTTCGTAAAGATTCATATATTTCATCACTCCCGATATCATTAGTGAATTATTTTTTATAATACCAGTTAGAAATTTATAATAGTTCATATATTAAATTGTAAAAAGCCACGATAAAAATCAAGATTTATACGTTTACAGAATATAGTTTTGTGGATTGAATTAGATATTTAATGTGTTTTCAATTTTATTCATTACAATTGATTAAAATTATTAAAAAAAAAATGTCGGCACGCAGAATTACAAAAGGTAAAATATTGTTTGTAACTGTAAAAACCCATAAAATTCTATATAAAAATAGCTAGATAATTATTTACCAAATTTACATGCAAGTAACGCCCTTTTAAACGAATCCTTATCTGATTTCCAACAATTTTTATCATATATCGCAGATAGGCAGAGGTTTAAAAAGCCATAAAACTACCATACCGGACTACTACTTTAGTCATAAACACGCACGAAAGGGGGGAAGAAATCTTCAAAAATTGATGTGCCACTTTCAGCAAAGTAGACTTAATAACTCTTTGGTACCAACAAACCACTCCCACTTTAATTGATATGAGGTTTAGGTTGTTGTCGAGCAAACAATCATCTGGATGAAACCGTATTTCGATAATGAATAGAAACGAAAACCCACCGAATGGAGGAAATGCCATTAAATTGTAATCAGGTTGACCACCGTGCAAGCAAACTCACGTGAGACATTCACCTGACCATTTGTAGTCGCTTTTTCGTCCATCTAAAACTGACCAATCGCCGTATGGGTATAATTCAATTGTGACAGTTAGGTGGAGACTACAACTCTGCGAGTGATCGTAAATCACAGATATTTCGGTTTGTGTATGTGCTGCTGCCTCACCCCTACAAACGAGAGCTCTGCGTGTGATTTTTGCAACTGAAGCTACTACAATGGGATTTTTCCCACTTTCTGTTCTACCACACGAAACTTTATTCGATCAACTGTGTTGTTATCTAAAGATTGTAGAAAGTTTAGTTTCTGGAGAGCGATCGTGTAGAAAATAAAAGACGAATGCTTTTACGGTTGTAATGGTTTCGTTCTAGCGAAAAGTTGTTGTTTGATAGGTCTTCTTTTTTTTTCCTCTGCTACAGATAAGGGCTTTAAAGCTGGGGTATATGGGCTTGCAAAGTTTTCTGATAAAATTCCATTGCTAAACAAAAATACGACCGCGTTAACTTAAATTTTTAGCCAAATCGTGCCACTGTTTCGCTATAAAATTATGATATATGTAAGTTATTTTAAGATATTGGCATTTTAAAACAATAAAAATATAACTAACTTTGTTTTTATAGTTAATTTTGTGTAATCCAAAGATTAAATTATCCCAAATATTTACGCATCGATTCGTTTATCATTTATTTAAACGTGGAAAATATATGTTTGTTCAACAGAGTAAAACTTGTTACGCTTGATTCTTCCATTCATGCTGTTGCTATTTTAGTAAGAGCGGTAATGACATTTTTGAAAATATTATTCCTCTTTTTTTTACCTTCAATAAACCAATAATTTACTGCAAAATGTAGACAACTATTAATAGACCATATAAGGATTTTCTTGTTTGAATTACAACTTCATATCAGCGGCGATGGAAAAAGTATCAACGATCATCACTCATAAGGATAATAACGATAATATGTCTACCATTTGTGATCTACCATTTTGCCAAATTGTCCCGTTATATATGATTGACCAGAAGAAAGTTTGTTGAGAAGAGGGGAAAAAAAGGCAAAAACGATCGACAATGTTGACATCAGCGTGACTAGCAACCAGTCGAAGTCTAATTGCCCCAAGACTATAGTGATTTATGATAGTGAAGTTGGTGTAGGCGTGGCAAAAGCTGTATAAAACAACACACCCGATGTCTTGTTCTCCAAGCTGCTCTTCTTCGCATAAGACGTGCGGAGCATAACCAATTGGAAAATTGCCAAGCATATGTTCCTTCTTGATTCTACGCGAATGACAGCATGCCACATGTGCGGCTTTATGGAAACAATTATTCCCTCTTACATATCCTAAACGTTTCCGAAAATTACTCGGATCCCTACGCCTGGGATTTGTTCTAGTACAAGAAACGAGAGCTCGAACCGGGACATTTTTATGCGTTTATTCCACCTCTGCACAACTGCTGTTACATAGGGGAGAACAATGAAGGATAGTGGCTGTGTTAATTTTTTTTTCCTAATTAAAACACTCATTATCGAAACAGATTTTTAAAAGTCCATACCAGATACAGCAGTTGTTATGTAGAATAAAGAATCAAGTCAGAAGAGAGGGAGGAAAAAAACAAGACTGGTTGCTATACATTCCGGGGACGTACGAGAGACACCGTTAAAAGGCGATTTTTTGGATGTCGCCACGTTATCAGCGATGCAATATATATGCAAAAATTCTCAATCTTCTCGCTAGCTTAGTCATGTGAAGAGATCCGCACAAATTCTCACAGAACAAAGAAAACCAGATATTTTCCTCACAATACTTTAATAAATGTTGAACATCGGATGAAGTTTAAAACTCTTGCTTAACAATTATTTTTACTACAGAATATAAAAGTGTAATTTTATTTCAATGTTACTCATAGCAAAACCTTGAATTCCCGGTCGTATTTATTACAAACATGTACTGCCAAGGGGTAAGAGACCTGCCAAAACAAGCGCAACATAAACATTAAGTCGTATTCATAACTCGATTTAATGATGACATTTAACATGTAATATTTATGAACCAGAACCAAGATTTGTCCGGTTTTACTCTCATATCGAACCGTATTATTCTTTACACTTATATAAACTTATATAGAGATACTTTTCACAGCGGGCATCATCCTACACGAACGTAAAAACTGCTACAATCGTAAATTTCAAGTATATAAATCTAACAATGTATATTAAACTTAAATATATTATATTTATTCGATCGTGCCTTTGAAAAAAAAGAAAATAAAAAACACCTAAATTATGGCTCCATCTTTGCTTCCTCGATAGCTTTTCATATCAGCGAAAGAAAAAGAAAGCCAGCTCTATCTAATTTATAATAATATAAAGAGATAAACGTCCGTGTGTCTGGCAGTGTCTTCTACAAAATTTATCAATCTGTCACGCTAATGTATACGATGACAAAATTTCGTGACTGGAGCCATATGTAGGTTAAATTCGAGAGAAGTTAAAAAAAATGAACTCGAATGCTCTCGAAACGATAATTTAACTCATTCTTATCATCGGTTTCTGCACGACTTGATTGATACAACTGTAAATTAGTATCGTGACTAACTTCGTTACTTACCGAATAGATGTATTAATAAATAAAAATACAAAAAGTACTCCAGTATAGGTTGGCACGTTCGTATAATATTTTTTTATGTCCGAAGTAGTATAAATGTTAATATTTTATTCCAGAACTCTTCTTAGGAGGAAAATGGATGCGGAGTGGCATTGACCAAGTGAGATGGCAACGATCGAAAGTTATAAAAAAATCATAGATGGGAAGGAAGAAGGACAAATGGTAACATGACTGGTAACTATCCGGTAGGACCGTGATTGCTACTATCCAACTAAATAATAACTTGTATGTAGTTTTGCTTATATAACGGATCCAACAACATAATTATGTATTGATGCATTATATTATTGTTTGACGTCCCAAAGGTAGAAGAGACAGAATAAAATCACGTCAGCCACCAGATGTAGGAACACATACAAAGGCGGAATTTGAGAAGAGTGTGATTGCAAAGGGAATTGCTAACACCTGTCTGCTTGTAAATGTCAGCTGTTTGCAGTTCTATCAGCTTATTTTATACAAAGAATTGATGGTTTTTGCTTCCATTTTCTAATGGTTTGCTTCCTATGATGGAGATGTTTATTAAACTTTACATTCTTTTTTTTTTATTTTTTATTATTATTATTAAACTTCCCTCTTTTTTTTAGTTTTATAGATCGATAATAATTTAAGTTTTTAACATAAATTTTCTTTTCTGCTTGTTGTTTTCTATCCTAATTTTGTAGATTTAAATTAAGTCGTTATTTTATTTTATTTTTTTCTTTGTACTTTGTTTTACATAAAATTCAAAGAGGAAAGTTTAATAGAAAATTCCGTAAAAACAAACAAAAAAAGTAATACATTTTTTAAAGCAAAACAACAGTCGAATTTAAATACTACTTACATTTAAATTTTTTTAAAAAAATTAAGATTTTTATAAAATTTTAAAGAATTTTTAACAAGAAATTTTATAAAATTAATTCAATTTTATTATAAAACATTCAAATTTTCATATTAAAAAAAATCGATTAAGTTAAATTAATTAATGAATAATTGGTATTTTTTTTTCTATAAAAATAAGTAGAGTTAATTCTATTGTTGTTTTAAAAGAAAGGGTGGACAAAAACTTAGTTAACCATTCAAAATAAAATAACTTTAATGTGATTTATACTGTTTAGTTTTGGGCACCCTGTCTTTATACAAAAATTTAAAACATTAATTTATAAAATTCTATAAATAATTTGAAATATTTTAAATTATTACGAGTTAAAAAATCAAGAATAGATGAAGTATAATTCGATTTTAATGAAATATTTAATAGTATAATGGATTAAAATTAAATTCTTAATTATTTGTATAGAAGAGTAGTAAAGAAACGCACATAATCTAAGAAAAGATAAATGGTTAAGTCTGTAAGTTTGTCGATCCAAATCCGATATATCTCAACCTCTGATAGTGAAACAACGCATTCATGCTTGTCGATAACGTCTATTTTTAAATGGTCGATAAACATTCTTCGATTACTCGCATTAATTTTTCAACGAAACAAACCGAAAAATAAAGCGAATTTTTATTTTTAAACTAAATTTTAATAAAATTTTTTTTATCTAAAAAAAAAAGTAAAGCCAGAAACGTTAAACAATGGCTAATAACGTTAATCAAACGCAAAAAAAAATCAGGAAACGAAAATAAAAAGTTGGCGCCTATTGAAAAACATATAAATAAAATATTTTTCTTATCAGAAATTGAAAAAAGTCGAGGGAAAAGAAGGAAGAAATTCATCGGGATTTTCAGTAGAGGAATCCCTTTTGAATTCGTTTTTATTTATTCGAATCGTATCCGATAAATATTGGTGATTCGTGCAATAGTTGTTGCTATGGTAGCATCACCCAAAGAGAACCATCTGTTAAGTTTCCGAACTCTGACAGATGGTGACACTGCAGGGGTGACGCTTACTTTTGTTGTCGTTTAGTACCGTGTGGGGGTGGATGAGACAAAATCTACTACAGTAGTATCTAGCCGCTGGTACAGATAGCAAGCAAATTGGCAAAAGCCATTAATGGTGGTCATTTGTTGTGCCAGCTGCGACCAGCCAATAATGGAATGCTGGGAATGTCCACGTGTTACGTCATTGGTTTTTCCGCTTTTGTAAACCTTAGATAAAAGCTTGATGGGTTATTGTCAGTCTTTATTGAAAGGGTTAGACAGCTAGTAAATATTATTTCCCCTCATAATGGTCTACGAACTAGTGTAAAATATAGTTGGCCCATTTATCTCTCAGTTGATGCAAGCTGGGCACATCTTTTGTGCTCCAGGAACCCCCTACTATTACTAGGGGGCAACTTAGTCGGGAAAATATATTCGTCATTAGCTAGATACTGTTACCTTTAAGAGGAGAGATTGCTGCTTGCGAGTTTGCAATACTGTCTATTGGGTGGTCCTTGTGTGTTTCTTTAACGTCTTTGTTACGTTTACGCGCACATAAACACATATTTCTTCTAGGTTATGATGTGATATATTCCACAATTATTTCGGACGTGAAATATAATCCGCGTATAGCACACGAAGCATGTTTACAGACAAAAATTCTCTGTTATACAATAGGAAAATGGAAGGTGATTAACTACTAGAGATGTAAGATGTGATGATAACAAGTATCAACAGGAACTAACTACTTAAAGACGATGCTGCTCATCCGCATTATTTTTTTCTTGTCAGTTAAGGGGCTACTTGCTCAGATAGGTGGACAAGGTAAGACGTATGGCAGCTCTTATTTCGAAAATGGAGGGAGACAAATGTAATTATGTTGCACATTTTCGGGTTTATCTTCCAGTTGACTTTCACCTTAACAACGTGCAATGATACTGGACGCGTTTCACTCTCCCATCCGATTGGTGGAATGTAATGATGTGCCCACCTACACTTTACTTTCGATATTATCTGCCGAAAAAGTCTTGAGAAAACAAGTTCAACTTAACTCCCACCAACAGGTAGATATTATGCGGCTGACAAAGACTGTTAACTGACATAAACGGGAATCGTGTAGTTAGATGACATCTTTGAATGAGATCCTTACTGTGCCCACGTCACGTGACCGCATTAATCAGTATCACACGAGCCATATCAGAGAGCAGTTAAATGAGAAATATTTAAAATCTATTAAAACGTAGTTAGCAATGACTTTTAATAAGATCCCTCCATTGTTTCGAAATTATGGTGGATGCCTTTAACAAGCAATGATTCAGACCATCAGCTGTTCATTCGACCAATTCTATTGTTGTTTAGGGAAGATTAGCATACAGATTAAACAGTGCTTAGCCGTGCAGCTGGCACATTGTTTGATAGTTGCTAGATTCACTTTCTGTCTCTCACTCTCGCGGGGATTAAGATAGATCCTCTTTTATAGAGTTGCATAGGGGGCTCGATTACTTTACAAACCAAAATCGAATGAGGTGGATCGTACGTTTTATTATTAAACTGTCGTTAAATATGAATAATCGTTCCCACGGTTTTATGTACTAGAAATGAGTAATGGTGTCTCCTGCATCTTCCAAAGCCGAAAATACCTATATTTTTTTCCCCTTTTCTCTTCATTATTGATACTATAAATGGGTCTCCGAGCCCTTTAAGATCTCCTCCCCCGTGGGAATCGAAGTTTAAAGTTTAATTACGGCCCCTTTAAATCGACCAATGTTAGATCTTTCTAGGAAATAAGTCGCATATATTTTTAAATTTCGTCTCGTTTAATAAATTATCGGCTGTGTTGTTTAGTTGCGAATTCCTGGAAGCTTTACTTAATTTATAAAATTGTTAATCGCAAGTTAACTCGCGATAACGGGAGATAACGACTCGACAGTTAAATTGTAATTATAATGTTTGTTAATTTGACGTCAAAGTAGCATAAATTCTTTTCGGATGTTTGTCAAGAGAGATTTTTCCAAGAAAAATCCCCTACAGGGAAAAATCCTTCTTTGGCCTCGGAGTAATTCTATCTAAAGATATATATAGGTTTAATCCTTATAACAGTCATTTCTCAACTATGGGCGTCTAACAAGCGTGCAATACCTAAACACGTCATTAATTACTGTAGAGAATGGCAGATCTTCTAACAGTAAACTTTTCCTATTTTTGGATTAATAATAAAAAAAAAAAAAAAGAGGGAGAGATGAATCTATGGTAATTTACTGAAGCGAAAGTTTATTCAAAACAATTTTTCGAATAGAATGCAAGTTTTTATACGGTTAGTAACTCGAAAAAATGGGAAAGGGACTATGAAAACTTGACTTATTTTGACAAGATTTAACGCATCTCTAATTTCAATATTCTCTTCGCGTCAAACTTTTTTCTTTTTCTTCTTCTTCTATTTCACGACCGGATAACCGTTTTTTTTTCTTTTCTTTTTAAATCTAAATAAAGCTATAGAGAAAATTTACATTTTATAAACTAATTTACCGAACGTTATTCTTGAATATTTTAAAACTGAATAATCTAACGCTTAAAAAGAAAATGGAGAAAAAAAAAGTTGAAAATTTTCAAGTTCATTTGAATGAAAAACGTGACCTCGACCATTGATAAACATAAGATAATGAGCTAAGTATTGCATTTCACAATTAGCATAAATTTCAAGAAGCCGGATCGTTTTCTTTCCAGATTAGAAAGTTAAAAATATAATTTTTTTTTTCTATATATCTTTAATGGCTCCTCGTTAAATTATTCGGAACGTAACGAATAAATTGATTTATCTTTGAATTTTTTTTATTATTATTATTTATATACAAATATCTTACATTTTACGTATATAGAAAGAACACATATCAATGCAAAGATCAGACAGAAGAATTTTCGAAATCAATCAATATATATACAATGCAATAAATGAGCTTATATATACATAAGTCATACAGTAGTAACGGATAGAAGACCTAACGGTTTCGTCCCTGAACTCTGACCTTTCGTTCCATGAACTAACACTTCCTGGACGGTAGTAAAATCGTCGAAGACAGCTTTACCTCGCTTCTTCATCATTTTTTTATAAGATAATTCTAAAATGTTTGTTTCTTTTCTGTTCTGTTCGTCGCCATCTTCCACATACTCTTTAAGGCATGACATCTTGGTTCTCATGATCATCTCTTTCTTTTTTCTATCTCTAGCTCTTTCTAGATGACGTTTGCGTTCTTCTTTCGACCAATACTTTCCAACTTTTAACTCGCTGACTGCATCGTCATCTGTAGTCAGCCCGGACCTTTCTTCCGTTATCTTAATGGCCCGTTCTCTTAGAATTCTGTTTCTGGCAGGTCGACGGGTGATGTAACGAGTTCCATCCGATCTTCTTTTAACTTTCCACTCCATTTTCATCTCTTCGTCTTCTTTAACAGTACTTAACCCGCCGACTTTTGATGCGATGGATTCTCTCTTGCTACCACAATTGGGTAATTTTTTCTGCTTCGACTGCTGCTGCACTAGAGCTTGGCGGAATAGTTGCTGTTGTAGCCATATTGTATGCTGTAGATTGTCCTGATTGGTGTACATGGTCGTACAGGGATAGACCGTTGCACATTTTCGCTTTCTACTCGATTCGTCTCGAATCTCTTCATTGTTCTTCTTAGTTTTCGTTGTTTCTTTCTGCGAAGTTTCCTCGTATTGGAAAAGGGCGCGACAACATTTGCGACAACTATCGCAACTGAATATACTGGCTACGTCGGATTCGTTCAGTTGGGTGCTTTTATCTTCCATTTTTGGCGAGATGAGAGATATCATGGAGCCGTGGAATTCGTTATTACGTTCTTCACACGGCAACGGAGATAATTCTAAAGTTAATGGGGTGCTCCTGCGACTGTCTCCCGTGTTATAGGCGCTCGAACTTTCGTCGGTCTTCTTATCGTCTAGAACCATGCTCTTGACCCAACGTTCCACCGATTCTTTTTTGTCCATGGAAAGTTTCGTTTCTTGATCCGGGAATCTGTTCGAGGTTCGTAAATCTGCGAGGTTAACATAAACGTGTTCTAGTTGACACCTGAGGCGTTGCTGCTCTTGAAGGTGACGATTTACTAGCGATTCACATTCCAGTTGTATGTTTTCCATTTCCTGATTGAGAAGTGCCATTTCGTGATCCAGGCTTATGTCGGATTGAAATCGACAAAGTGGTCCGAAACATTTAGTTTCGCTCGTTTCTTCTTCAGTTTTCAGTTTATTGTTATCGTTGCAGTCGTCATTTTGAAAATTTCTTTGCTGTTCGATAACGGATTCTGCCGCTTCGTGTTCAGAACTTTCTTCGTTTTTGGTGCTGTCATCTGTTCTGCCCACTCCGCTATCTTTTTCGTGCTGATTTTCGGCCGTTCCTGTATCCGTGTCGTCCGCATCCTCCTAAAAGTTACCATAACTTTAAGCATAAAATTCCCAAAAGTTTAGTAAAAGAAAAAAAATTCATCACTTACCAGATGTTGACGGCAAAAAGCTAGAGGTAATTCAGAAGTTTGGTCTTCCAAAAGATAATCTTCCATCTGGAAAAGATTAACACTGTTAAATATTACAAAAATATGCAAGATACGTCCGTTTGTCTAGCCATTTTTCCCAGCACCAAACTCGACTTAGACCATTTGTACGTGCTTTTCCTTCGATAATAGATCATCAGTTAAAGGAATTCGGTTCTTTTTTAATTTACTTTTAACGGTTTCAACCTATAGTCGTTAGTTAAATGTTGTGATACATTAAAACTACCGTAAATATCATCTATAAACTTAATGGATTTTCTTCAAAGTTTACGAGTTTTTCTTTAAAAAAAAAATAAATTTTTATATTTTTGTGAACATCTTTTTCTCTTTTTTTACATCTTAATAAGTTTAATGATAGTAAAGAGGTGGGAAAAGCACTCGCCTGCATCTGAGGTCGTGCAACCAGAAGTGTAAAATCTTGACGTTTCTCAGAAAATAACGAGATGGCCTGTTCTCTGTTGCAAACTTCGACGCCGTTTATCTAGTATAAAAAATACAAGAAAAGTACCGGTTTTTAAACACGAATTTCTTTGATCTTCTTTTCTTTTTTTATGGAGTAATAACAAAGAATGGAAAAATCCCTCACCTGCAACAACTGATCCCCTTTCTGAATTCGACCATCTTTAGCAGCAACACTCTCCGGTTCTATCTGTAGAACATTCACATTATAAAAACTTATGGTAAGTCATAAAAAAAAGTCATGAACACGGAAAATTCAAATATATAACAATCCCTATTGACTTTTTATGTTCTTTAAACTTTTGCAAAAAGACATTTTTGTTAAAGATTTTTCCCTTTTTCCCCCTTTCTTCCAGATAGGTGCAGTATTTTTTGGCAAACCTCCAACACTGTCAGTTTGAAATATTGCAATAGAGAAAATTTATTCGTAGTAAAGGAGGATTTTTATATGTAAGTAGAAGTGACATAGACATATACAGATTTCTTATTTTACCATTTTCCAAAGATAAAGTAAGTGGATTTCTGAGAGAAAGTTATTTCTAGGAATTCCTTTCCCTCTTTTTTTCTGTTATTTTTGTTTTTTTTAGAACCAAATACTCAATCGATACCAGTAAAGGAGCGATTCAAAATCCTTCTAAATCTCTTTCAGTCATTTTCTTACAAACAACCAAAGTCGCTTTATTTACATATTCAATATATACGTGTACCTTTTTTTATATCCATACACAGTATAAATACTCACTTCGCTAACAAATATATCTGTTTCCAATTCTTCTGGTGCACCGTAGCATAGAGTCAATCCTAATTTTTCGGTGCTTCCACTCCTTTGAAGTATGACTTCCTGTCCAAAGACAAAATATGTTGTCAAATTCAATGATATACAGATTTGCAGGGTGAAGTTATAAATAGATATAGAAAGAACTATCAACGAATTCTAAAGCGCTGTTTCTCTCCGTGCATACAGTGGATGATGATGTTTGAGGAAGAAACCCCTGACGAACCTACTACAGCTGCCAAGTCTCTATATTTAAACCCCTCTCCCTGTAAATTACGTGAGAATTTTGTCGCAAGTCTGGTAATTTAACTCTGGAGTTAAACAATTGTTGTAGAAATGCAATAGTTTGTTTTTATAGTCATACGATCGCTCTATTTAAAATCCTCTAGCAGGGAGACGAAATTACAGAAAAGAGCCAAAAATTGATGGTGGACGCGAGCTAATGCACCAAATCATTCGTCATGATTACGTCTGTCAGGCGAGAGGGATGAGGAGGGAGGAAAATTTTCAATTAATGATTTGTCGCTATCTAGGGAAATAATTTTTATATTTTTGCCATTTAGAAAAGGAGCAAGACTCGATCTAACGGTCCGAAAATCGCTTATTTTTAGATAGCGTTGACAATATTGTTCGAATGTTCCACCACCATTGTTCTGTGCACCTTGAGGCAATTATGTCTTCTCTTTCTTCCTCTTTTGATTAGAAAGTTGGCCGAGAAGATATGGAAGGCAATTAACTGCGAGTTAGTTCTGCGTGTAATTACTTCTTTGCCTCGGGACTTTCAAACTCACAAAGCTTTACAACCAATCAGATTAAGGTTTGTCATTATCGTATCTATGAGATTTCAGATTGGTTCTTCGTCCCGTAACACTTTTTATTCCCGGCTCAAATTTTAAGAATAAATCATTTCTTACCTCGTATTCAACCCCATCGTCGTCTCCGTCGGGTTCACTTCCCAGAGAAACATAATGATCGCTTGTAAGCAAAGCGAGTTGTGTTGTTTGTGACATGGTACTGAAATTGTCAGGGGGTCGTAAACATTTTAAACAGGAGATAACCGAGTTATATGGAAGGTTCCTACTTACTTATTCTGTTCTAGTGGTAGCAAAGGATCCCAATTTCCAGACCATTCAGTTTGTGTTGTGATATCGCAACAGTTTGGTGATTGAAGGTGAGAAGATTCGGTCATGCCAGGTTTTGGCGATGATCTTCTTAATACCTCCACCAGAATCGGTTCTTTAGCTTGACGAAACGCTTCAATTGCTTCTTCGTGACTCGCCTTTGACAAATCTTGTCCATTCACCTGAAAGATACGAGAGAAAGTTGTCAAAATTGGGATATATATCGAGACCAGGAAGAAACGTTTACGTCTTGGCATATGGATGTGGATGGAATTTCAAGTATATCGAGAAACAAATGAAATTAAAGAAGGATCTTTACTATTTAATCCTGTTGGTGATGGTCTCGAGAGATGAGAGAGGACTATCACCTGGAGACAGTCTTGTAGGGTCAGCGAGGGCGTAATCAAGCAGAAAAGCTTGCAGTCCTGGTAGCGAAGCGATAAGAGATGGCGAAGAAGGGGGGATTGTGTTTCTTCACGTCACTGAATCTGCTCATCCGGAAGATAACTGATAAATGGATAGAATATTGGAAACTGGATTGATCCCTTCTTTCCCGTTTAGGTTAGAATACCAGAAAACGATAGAATGTTTTCCCAAAGCTATTCAATATTTAAAAAGAATGAAGAGTGCCAGATGCACTTTCATACGTCAGTGGATAAAAGGGAACGATTTTAATTTGGTTCACTTTTTTCTCTCCTTCCTTTTTTTTAATGCAAAGGTATGATCTGTGAATAGAAAGCTTCTAAGCTAAAAATAGTATCCAGGAATAAAGAAAGGAATAAAAAAAAAATTGAGTTACAAGCAAGTAAACAGATGCAGAAAAGTCGCTTGGGTGCAACAATTGTATAAAAATCGAACATTAGCATAACAAAACGTGCTAGTGGGTGCCGGATAATGGGGGAAATGCTATATAAAAGGAGTTTCGGAGGCGAAAACATTTCGATCACATAGGTTAACTTCTCGATACGATAGTTATGTTATGCTGAATAGTACTCCTCGTAGGAGCCAACTTTGATAATTGCGGGATACAAAATAAGCTTATTATAAGTAAAAATAACAATTGGGTGATCGATAATAGAGAGGTCCTTACCTTTCAACGGGACCAGTGAGCATGTGATCAAATGCTGCAGCCTTCAATGAGAAGACTTATATATCGGAGCAGGATTAGTTCCATCTGGCTAAAGCGGGGGTGGACAGGTAGACAGCATTGAAGAGACTAACGAATACCCACCCTACCGACTCCCTATCAATGATTATTTGAATAATAATGAAGGAAGGAATTCTTTACTTTCTCTCTTTTTTTTTCTCCTCTCGCTATTTTTGCTCTTTAATCGATGAGCTATAGAATTTCCAACATTCGAAAAGAAAAAAAAAACTAATATTTTCGCTTTCTGCAGTTATAATTTCGTAAATTAAGCTCTTTCGGTTCAAATATTAAACGCAAATTTTTCTTCTTTATCGTGTGCTACGTGTTGCTCGCACGAAACTTAAATAAACTATTTATTAATCAGAACACTACGCAAACTTTTAGGTAATTTTAACGTTTAAAAACAGTGTAAAACTTACTTTTCCCAAGCGATTCTTTAGCGTATATTTTGTTGTACTGATTATTTTTACATCACTGTTCTAATTATTTACAACGTTACTAATATTTCTATATTACGCACAATACAATCTTATCGACCGTTTAAATATTGCTCTGATTAATTAAGGTGTATAATTATTTATATATTGTTCTAATTATTAGGTGTTACTACGTGTTACTCGGATTATTTACGGCTTCGTGACGCGTGTTTCTATTCATATTGTTTTTGCTATTCTATATTGTTCTAGACATTATTACGTTGTGTTCCACCTCCGACTGTTGTTTATATATCGAGTTATCTCCGTCCGACCATCTTACAATAGTAAATTTAAACAATATTTCACTCTAAAAGAAATTAGTGAAAAGTTTAAGCTTAATTATAAACTTCTAATCAACTTTAAACAAACATTGTTGAAATTTTTACATTATTTATAGCCGAAGATAAGATATCTATTCTTTGTCGTATAATTAATTGATATAAACACCTTAACGACGGTGAAGTTTAATCCACTCTAACTAAATTAAATCTCATTTTCATCTAAAGGAAATTTAACCTTTGGGAGGACGGCGATAAATTAATTTTATAATCACACCAACTGATGTCAAGCATACGAATCTAACGAAGATTTAGTTACGGATAGAAACGAAACAAAACAAAACAAGAAGTTCCCGAAGCGGGAGGAAGAAAGGAAGGGGAAAAAAAACAAACAAACAAAAAGAAAAACCTTTTGTTCGTCCCGACTATTTTTAGTTTCGAACTGTATCAAAAAATGTATATTTATAACAGATAATTGCATCATTATCGCGAGTCATCGAATCGAACGTGCCGAGGTTACTTCCTGAAGTCATTAGCTACTGTCATTTGGCATTTCTTTCAATCAGACCCCCGAATTGTGTGTGGAGACTTCTATACAAAAACCCCACTTTACCGGACTGTAACACGAGCCCGGTTTCCATAAAACCCTATACGACTATCGAGGGGGAAGAGTGTGACGTAACTGTCTAACTTCTCATCCAATTTACTGCTATTGACAGAAGATGCGAAAAGACCTACGACGTTGTCGAGGAGGGATATACTCCCTTTTTTTTTCATTTATGCTATTGGTTTAACGGCATGTGACGTCAGTCTCCTTATGACAGTGTGTGTCAGATAGGGAGAACTTAACACCGAAATTTACAGTTTTTCTCTGCCGGCAGCAAAGATAAACAAAACAACTAAAACGTCCCCCAAGTAGCCTCAACACGGGCATATACTATTTTCTTTTCTTCTTTCTTTCGTAGCAGAAGGAAGAAAAAGAAAAAAAAGGAACCGCGCCATCTTCTATACGGGATTTAATTTTAAAATAACACCGACTTAAAATGGTATTTTTAAAGGTTTTTAACTTAATTGATGGTCATTCGAGCGATGTTTACGACATTACAAGAGTTACTACATACTTGGAATGTTTTGGTTAAAGAGAATTCCATGCCGGTGAAAGATTTTTAATAGATTTTGATAAATAACGAAAGGCTCCGTTCGCATACCTGCAACTCCCGACATACTTTTTGCATGCAAGACAATACCAGAGGTCAAGGTGTTGGGTCGAGCCGCGTGACCTCGGGATTGAAAAAGGTTGTTGCTGATACGTTACACACGCTTAACAGTTAGTAAGACACAGAATCCAGATTACAAGGACACTAATATTTTTCGATAGTAGAAAATCACGGTGTCGAGAGAACTGGAGGGAGAAACTCGGAACGATGTCAAGGTTTACGCAGGAGGGGGGGAAAGAAAGAAAAAAGAAATAACAACAAAACAATGGATTTTCGACGATGTAGGAAGTGAACAACCTCTTCCAGCAAAAATTTGGGTCAAATGAGGCACGTTAAAAATTCCTACAACACTCTATTGTTAGTTGTTATTACACAGGAATTGCCATAATTTATAGTTGTTTATGATGTGACGTTGCTAAAAATGTTTATAAGCAAAGAGATGCGAGGAATCTCTGTAAACGAAAAGTGCGAGAAGAAAGAAGAAGAAGAAGAAGGAAAAAAAAAGCAATTTGCTTCCGGTGTAACGGATTAAACGAGACGGGGATGTGACGTATTCCAAACAGCTGAACTGTTAGGAGTTTTAATGTGTAGTTAGACGTGTCTTGTTGTTGTAACACATATTTCTACACGAGAGTCGATTGTAAAGTGACGTTGTGGCTAAACCGCCCACAATGAGAGCCGCGGTTGATCTTTTACTACCAATTACAACACTTTAATAAAAGAATGTGGTTACTACACAGCATCCTCTTAACCAATTTTCTAACTACGATTTTGAATGTACCGTTCGTATAATAACACACAACATCAGAGATTTGTATCCGAATTTTAGATGGTTATAGATACAATATAATTATCAATACAATAGGGACGTAACTAATTTACGATGTCGATAATTGCATAGGAGAGATGGACAGCTTTCGTAACCTAATTCGCGCTTATGTACAGATTTATACATAAGATTTCGTAACCGGTACGTTTGTTAAATGAACGTAGTAGATCTCTATCGCCACCGGCGCAGCTGCATTTTTACAAGTTTGTATGGCGTAAAAAGGTTCCTTTAAACTATAAATTCGCCGGTTTATAATTTATAATTGGTATAAATTTATTCTTTTAAATTCGAGCTTCTCTATTCTAGGAACGGGGTTAAAAACCGCCGGTATGCAGATGCAATTAACGCTTGATTTAACCGCTAGGTGGGCATCCACTAATTATGCTTGTCACGATGTTGCCAGTCGTATAGTAACTAGTTGCCACTGTTTTTTTTTTTAATTTGTATTCAATTTCCGATATTCATAAAAAAAAAGACAAGAGCGGCAGTGTGCGTTTTTTTTTCTGCGAAGAAACTCCGAAAAAATTGATTTGTAATTCCGTAATAGAGTATCCTACTTTTGTTTTAAGATCACCAACAAATGGTAAGAACCCATTTACAGTTTGCGGCAAGGGAGCAGTTCGCTGGCCTAACAGATACAGCGTGATGGGAATACCAGACTGCGGGAGGTTAATGGTCTTCGGTCGGGCGCCATAAAAGTGGACCGGATGACTTATGGATAGAAAGCAGGCAAAAATTTGAGCAAGATATTTGGCGGCAACGTTCCACTCAAAGAAGCAACTAATCGTCACCCCTGGCAGACCGACTGTAAATTAGTTATGGGGACTCTTTACGGATCTTACGCTGCTGTAACCCGGGTTACTGTCAGTTTTTAGAAAAGTTTTTGCAGTATTAAATTTTACTTGTTAAGACTCTCGAAGAGTGTACTTTTCTAATGGGGAGAGGAGGAAAAAAGAAAAAAAGCCGGATAACGACCGACAGTAGACGGTGCCGTACAGAGCAGGTGACTAGTCTATCCTGTCTCCTTCGAGTCAGATCAAAGGCCACCGACCGTCCCCTTACTTCTCGCAGATCATGTTTGACAGCAACTGCGAGTGAAAGCAAAAACAGGAAACAACGTTTTTGAATCGGAAATTCAAGGCTTTCATTCGGTTAAGTATTTGTTGTATGCAATCGCTGCTAGTCTGGTCTGGACAAGGTGAACGCTGACAGCTTTAACTATCGTTTACATTACTATTTTTACCTTCTCTTGGTACAGGAAATTGAAACAGCCATCTGGCCCTGTAAATGATAAATGACTGTCTCGAAAAGAATATCTCTTAACTTTTTTTTTATGAATAAAAATCACTAAATAAGAAGGAGTTTCATTCGTTTACATTTTTGCAGTGCTTAGAGGAGACGGCGGAAGTTTTTGCAAAGCGAAAGAAACTGCTTAATCTATAAGTAGGATCTAACCGAACGAGGCTTGATAAATTATTTCCCTCGCTCATCCTACAAATGTCAAATTGAACAGAAGAGTCAAATGATCTCATTGCAGGAAGCACTGCCAACAGGATGGTGTCACTTTCACTTAATTTCACCGAGGGGATCCCGAACTCTACAATAGACTAGGCCTCATCCTATCCTTTTTTTACAATAACAAGTCCCACGAGTAGAGTAGTTTTCTAAACCAAGTATTGCAACCGCAATTCTAAAATACCCTTTTCGCATAATAGCACTTTATCTAGGTGCAGGAAGTGTATTGATTGCCTCTGGCTTTTTAATACCTAGTTATCCCAGATAAGAAAGATTTAAGGCCGTGTTAAATTAGAATTTTGAAAGATAATAAGACACGGCAAAAACTAAAAATACAGATCGAGTCGTGTCTTGCCTTTTTCCGCTTTGTCAACTCACGTGTTGTGCACATGGCGTTGTGTAATAACAAGCTAAAACTTATAGTAACGTGGAGCAAAAGTTTTCAAAAGCTCTTGGCACGGCATAAATAAAAACAACGTACCTTTAAAATAATGAAATCCATAGTGTCCGGCCCCGTGGCAGGAAGTACGATGATTAAGGGAGAACCGACAGATGCGTGTAGTCCATTGGCAGCTCCGCTTCTACTGCTGCTCCACTTGACTGTGTAGCCCGGTCCACCCCCTCGTCTTGAGTGAGGCTTGCTGGGTAAGCAGTCACTATGAATAGTAGTATATCGATAGCTCGCTCGTTGATTAATGAAATGATATATACGAACAAATCATCACAATTGTCTCCGACGCTTTTTGTCAAAGTTTCCAGAGTGGTGTCGACAGAGCAGTTAAGTTTAATGAATGAGTGAAACGTAACGGCTAAATATGGATATCAAAGTATCCATTCTTCTTCTTGGAGTGACTCTCATTCTTCACGTGGCGTTGGCACTAAGCCATTCTGCAAGAATTTCTCTGGTATGAGAACTGACAGTCTCTATTCTTTGATCAGGATCCACTACTTTAAAGAAAAAAAGGCCAAATCTGCCCATTGATCCCATCGATCTTATCTAAGTGGAGCAGCTGGATTTAAGAATTTAGTTATCGGAGCCTACAAAAGAACCTATTCTCCACACCTGCCATGTTTATGTAATTATGGGATATCCCCAGGCTGCTCCTATTTGGGACGCAAAATTTACTCTTTTAAAAATATCCCCAGTTCATAAACGATAAGCTTAATTAACCGGTTGTACGAACACACGCACACCTCGGAGTTAAAGGTTGAAGTTGACAAAAGAATGCTGATAGAGCAAGAGTTTCTACCGTATTCTCGTGAGAGTAAGGCACTCTCTTCGTCGCTATTATAAATCATTCGATCCTCCAGAGACCAACAGGGTTGCAGCAACCTTTGGGAATTGACCCGGTCATCCCTAGATACCTGAGCACTTTTAAATCGTATTTACTTAGGTTACTCTACAAAGGATTTAATCCCGGATTAAAAGCATCCTGTATCAATATTCAGAGTACAGCGGAATTACACTTGGTTAACACATCATTGAACCATCAAACGATTGTCAGAAAGGGTTACCAACGATTACGCTTGGATAGATAAAGTTCCGATAAGGTTTTTCTGTCACAAAGGTAAATTTATTCAGGGACTTTTTCAACCTCTGGTCACGTATAGTGATATATAGCGCACGGTCGAATTACAGATAAAGGCAGAAAGTGATGATCTAGAGTCGAATCAGCCATTTCTTCATTACTCAGAGTGAGTTTTACGAGTTTGATGGTTCTCTCTGATCTTGCCACTTACTAAATTTCAGTCATAATCGGAGTGCTGCAAATGGGACAAATTTGGTGGCCAAGCTAAAAGCCAACACGTTCTACAATCTGATAAGGAGCTTTTGGTTCCGGATCCAAGACTTGAATTTAAGTTTTCTAGTCTTTCAGCCATTAACCTAGCTCGGATCATTTTTTTTTTCTCAACGTCTCATGCATTATTCAGCCGCATGAAAATCGAACTTACTTATCAAATAAATCTTACCCAACATAGTTTTCTCCTTTTATTTCTTAAAAAAAAAAAAAACTCTTTCGTCGTGAAAGCATCAATGAATAATTATTATTTGCTATTAGTTTTACAAGAGGTTAAACAATAAAAAAAATGGCGTATGAACGATAATGTCTATGAAAACGTTTTCTTATCTGCGCCATCTGGTGATACAAATTAAAATTCCTACAAAATATTTTTTAATTTTTATTTTAAACTATAAACATTTATATATAAATTAATTCGTTTTATATTCTCCTCCAACAATTATATAATTTTTTGTTTATAAAATAATTTTTTTATAGAACAAATAAACGCGATAAAAATAAATTTTCTATTTTCTCTAACAGAGGGCACCACAAATATTTTCGAAAATTATTATTATTATTTTTTTTTAACGGGATAAATTTCGTAATTAATATATTAACGAGTGTTTGTTTTGTAAAAAAAAGAAAAAAAAGCTATTAAGCTAAAGAAAGCTACATTGTGTCTACGAGTGGAGGAAAAAATATATATATATAAAGTCTTTTCAATTATCAAGCCAAACAAATTGTGTCAACAGAATAAAAGTCTTCGGCGAAACTAATTTGAAGACTCGATTGTTGTCTTGTCAGAGAAAGGCGATTAATCAATTACAATAAGAACTGTTGACCTCTTATTTCTATTCACTTTCTTCGTGTTTTATCTGTAAACTATTTTTCTTCGTTTCAAGTCTCTATTCAGGAAGGAAGTCGAGTAACTAAAATCAACAAACCGAAAACATAACAGGCAATTTTATTGGTAAACAAACCGACAATTTAAAAATTATCTCGTCTGGCAAATTATGTATTTAACCAATCGTTGAAAAATTCTAAAAGAAAAAAAAAATTTAAATTTGACGCATCGCGTTTTAAACCAGTTGACAATTACACCAACCTGTTACTGCACGATAACGCCGTTTTAGTCACATGATCGATTAGTTTGTTACGCATTCGTGACGAAATTATCTATTATAACCAATCACCGTTAAAAATAACGATTTTAAATTACGTGTATAACTTAATAAGCATTTAAATTTTAATAGAAAGTAATTACTGTAATGTATTTTAAAATAAAAGTGATTTATTTTTAATTATCGCTAGTTTTCTTTTTCTTTTCTTTTTTTTTTAATTGAAATATTTTAAAAATATCGAAAGAGCGCCATCCGGTGCTAATCGATTAAAACTAAACCGTGACGAATAATACGTTTAACCAATCATTTTTCAGTATTAATCAAATTCAAAATTCAAATGTATGACATATATTTCACGGTAAATATTGACGATAAAAATGAGTATTACTACTTCTAAACACGAATTATATTTGGTTCGAGGCATTATACATTCCCATTTTCTTTTATTTACATTTAAAAATGGTTTTCGATGAATCTAAAATTGACATTTACTTTTCTCTATAAGCGATCAAAGTAGATTTCTTTTCAGAATATTCCCCCACTTCTCCTCTACATAATGGAGTAGGATTTAAAGTTGACCTTTTATTCAACCAAAAACTTCGATAATATATACATATATATTTATTTTTTCCTCAGAGTTTTTGCCGTATATTCCAAGAAAACTTTAACGCACGAACGAATTTGACAACGATCATCATCATCATCATCATCGTCGTCGTCGTCGTCATCCAAACATGTGACTTTGGTATGTAAAATCGTTTTGTTACGGTCGAGAAACGTTGTTTAAACACTTATAAATGTGAAAAGATAATGATATAATTATGAATTTACTAATTAGATAGGACGATTATTCGTCACGAAAGTTTAAATCCGGCGTAAATGGTGTTTTCATATAATTGAATGACTTGGTAACTACTAATCTAGGTAAGAGATAATATAACTTGTAATTATGACGTCTAATATAATCGAGTAATATCAATAATATTTGATAATATTATAATCTAAATATATCTCTAACGACTTAAGACTTTTGTAGATAAAATATTACCCCCATTTTAGATAAGTAAGATTCCTTACTTTGATAAATATTTCACTTCAAGAGATAGTTTTCCGGAAAATCTAATTATCATTAACCGAACTAACTTCAAAAGGTATAGTTTTAATATGTTTCGTGTATTGTGATTCATATCTCTGCGAAATGGCCAGAAGGGAAATTATGAAAATGAATTAAAATTCTCTCTTCTAGGACTTCGAGGGGTGAAAAAAAATCCTAACAGGTTATTAACAAACATTTGATGGTCTTTAAGAAGTTGTAGAATTAATAGTAGGATTGCCTAAAGAAGAGACCAGCAACCTTCTGCGGGCCGTAAACGAAATTCGTAGGCTTCAGGCGGGCCGCGTGCATTCTTGCTTAGTTGCAAGTTTAGTTGCTTCGTCACGAATATCGGCTTAAATAGGGTTGTATAATGACACGAGGCAGAAAATAGGAAAATAAAATTATCTCGACCATGCCACAGAATTGGGATTTCGATTGCCACGTGAGGCCCGCGGGTTGCTCACGACTGGCCTACAGTTTTTGTTTTCGGATAGACTTACAGGTCTATCATATACAGTACGATGATATCTATTTTAAACCTGCTGAAAAAAAAGAGGCTTAAAATAGCTTAAGTAATGAGTTAAAGATCAATTAGATTAATAATTTTTGCTAGTAGACATAAGAAATTATCAATAAAACTCTAGCAAACACTACTTTTAGTGGATCTCTCTAGTAATACTTGATAACATTACTAAGTAATAAATAATAATTTTTCTAGTATCAGAAGTAACAATTTACCGAGTCAACTATTAAAAATTAAGGTTGCAAGCCTACTTTTAGTACACAGGATGCTTCAAAATTATATTGTTAGTTAGGAGGGTGTTTCAAAATGGAATAAAAGTAACATTAATCCTTTTAAGGAATTGAAAAATTGGCATATCTCTATTAAATAGTTAAAAAATTCTTTTAAGAAAAGGATAAAAACTATTGACATTTAATCTATAAATGGGGGAGGAAAAAAAAAGATATTAAATTGACAAGATTGAAAAGGAACTCCACCATTGTAATAAATTCCTGTAAAGAAATTTCAAAATACTTCTATTAGTAACTTAAAAATTAAATTAAAATCTGTAGAAGAATACTAGGAATTTCATTTCAATTTTTTTTTTAACGAACTGCTGGGAGAGAATATTAATAATGAGAATCTCTGGCAAAAATATGGAGAAAAAAAATTAACGTACTTTCATTATTTTACTAAAATTGCATTCTAAAAACAACCTAATGGCATTTAGCTTGATACTGAAATAGAAACAAGACCAATGAAGATGTCTGTCTGTCAGGCAATACAAAAAAAAGAGGATTGCAATCGATGGTTTCCTCTAGAATTTCATTAAAAACAGCAAAATTAATAACAATAAACCTTTCGGGTAAACCATCCAAAGAATTGAATGACGATAGAAGTGAGGGGGGGGGGAACAATGAAAGCGATAAAGATATCCAATAACATATCACATTATATCTGAATATCTAGAAACGCATAAATGGCAATATACTGTCTAATTTCATAGATAATTAGAGCGTTAATAATTATGATCTTATTAGGAATTGTCGCATTGAAAACCATTGGTTTATAAGGTATAAACCATAGGATAGAAAGAAAGCAAGATGATTTATAAAACTTGCTTAAAAAGTAGTGCGAAAGTGGAAAATAAAAGAAACGTACTTTGAATATTCGGGCGTGTAAGACTTCATTAATCAAGCATTGGTGTTCAACAAGAATTGTCTGATATCGATTTATCTCCAGTGGAGGCAACAGATGTAAGCTTTCATTAAAAGATAGGGACTTTTTCTCATTGATATTTAATGAAGTTTTGCAAACACATCCATGTTGTAACGAAGTATCGTTGTTTCGAGATTTCTTTCAAAAAGAAAACAGAATTAAAGGAGATTCATCTCGTGCAATATCGGTGTTAACTTCCTTTAATTAAATTTTCCCTTGCTTCTACTAATAATTTCTGTACAAACTTTTGTGTATCTTGCTTTAAGATGTAAAGATTTAATTTGGGAGTTGTGACAAGTCTGATTAAGCTTTACTTTGAAGAGAATCTTTAACAAGATTTTACACAGAGGGGAAACAAGAGCATTATTTTTAGAAGAAATCCAGAAAAATAATGATTTAACGCTTTCTATTCGAGGCATTTGACTCGTAATTATTTTCTCCCTTTTTTTTCTTCTATTTTAACAGTCGGAAACGTGCGATAATCCACGTTCTTAGTCTGGTATTATGTGCCAAAAATGTGCTAAGCGACTTCCAAATGTGTCTATATGTAGAAATTCGGTTTCGTTAATTAATTTAATTACTATACACGTGATTGTCTAATTAAAACATTTGCTTTTTAACTACAAACTTTCTTCCAATTAGAGGCGCGTATCCCTGTTTAATGAACAGCGGCATTTCGGTGATTAGGACAATTGTGCTAATGAAGTCATAAATGGCAAGCACCAAACTAATGAACAAAGAAATTAAAATTCGACTGTACCTGTTCGTTTCAATAAGTTTCCGTAACAACATCTAATTTATAATTATTACCCCGGTAGAAAATTAAATGGGGGCATCAGAAAATATAGAAAAAAATGTATCGAAACTTTTAAAATTGGGAGGAGGAAGGAAAAAATTTTCAAATGGAGTATGCTTTAGGTATAAACAACTTAATCATATTAAGAATTTCTCTCTCTCTCTCTCTCTTTTCTTAATCATTCGTTGACTCGTACTAACGTGCAATTAGTAGGACGTGGGTGTGTAAGCACAACTCTTTTGGGGAGTAAAAAATTAAATTAAATTTTGTTCTAACTCTTGGTATTTAAAAAAAAATAAAATAAAATTGAAAAAGTCACTCGATTCTCAATGATTTCTTAGCAGAGAAGAGGAAAATTAAATTATTTTAATAATCGCCGACGTTTTTATTTATGTCCTTCAGAGATTTACTCATTAACTTTCGTGATAATTACACGGTTTTCGCGTAGTTTACGCCTAGAAAATTTGACATTTTGACACGGATTCTTCTATCTCAATAAATTTAAAACACGTTTCTTTCTATAGTTGAATAGGGCCTATTGTATTCTTTAAACTGTAGCTATTTACAAAAATTATTGAATGGATAATTTAACCGGAAACTAATATCAGGGAGGCGAGGATTACATCAGACAACGTTTCAAAATGTCATCGCAAGGCCGAAACCGTACCGACTACATTTCCTAGCGGGTTAGAGGGGGGTTCTTAGTGGGTCCATGCTGATTAACGAACCAATGTGACACGCATTGACTGACTTGGTCTCTTCTATGCTCCAGGCGTTGTTAGCTACATTGAATGAACAGTTTGTTTGTTCGGTTAGGGCATATATATATTTTTCATTTTGTCTAGAGAATTTTCTTTTCTAACGTTAATTAAATTATATTAGCTGGCGTTTCGTGAATTTAAAATTAATTTTTTTTTTAGATAATAAGCGGGAAAGTTTTGCTTACTCCGGTGTACTCGAATTTATCTTCTCACTTGTTTTTACAGATTAAAAATCTGGTGATTTCTTTATCGCTAGTTTGGTGTGTAGCTTCTCAGATTCTTCGCTTAGTATTTTGCTAGAGATATATTCTGGAAGAATTTTCATAGATCTAATAATAGCATCATCGCATTTTATCGCCGTCCTCTCTCTCTCACATTCTCCTCTTTCCTATCAATTTCTCTTACATGTTAGAAACTCATTTGGTGTTGCTGCCAACGTAATATCTCTCTATTTCTCTTACAATTTTTTATACTTTTCGTATTCGAAAAATATTAGAAAAACAAATTCTCAAATAGTTTCTATTATTTTTCTGGCTAAGCATCGAATTTTCGGTTATTTATAATAGGAAAATTTCTAGCTCGAATGCCAAACACGTCTCCTAACAACTAACATTTTTTTCTTTTTTTTTTTCTTTTTCCCTTCTCCCTACATTCATTCTTCATTCTGACATCAATAATTCGATGTTTAACGCGTAAAAAATAGGAAAAATCTCGAGCAATACTTTAAAAAAATTGAAGTCAAACTTGCGTTAAACGGAATGGTTTTTGGTCTCTCTGATAAACGGTGGTATGCGATGCAATTTCTTTGTAGAAACGCATTTGTCTTATACGAGTTAGCGGTTATAATTCAAAATGTAAGAGGCGGTAAAGCACAAACGACACGAGTTTTTAGTTAAATTCGAATTATAAATCGTTCAGATTCCGTATATTTTATTTTTTAAAAAGAAATCTTTCCACCTTTCCGAGCGTAGTTTTGGCAACACGTTTTCACACCACCACCACCACCACCACCACGACATTATTATTAATCGTCACTAACTCCGAATCGCATAAGCTAGTTATGAATAATGCATTTTCTCCATTTGTCCTATCAAAACTTGATTAGCGGCCATTTAATTATCAATTATCCGAGATGAAATTTCATAAACACACACCGATAAAGCCCCTCGATATATAAGAGATTTTTATCGGTATTAATTACGCAAAATGCCCGATTAGGTTATTATTAATTGTAAGGCCGAGTTGGTAAAAATGTTCAGAGTCCTCCTTAAATCAACAACACACGTCATTTACGGGCCATTAGGTGAATCATCCTAATCAATAATAAAGAATCATTACGAAGGCAACAGAGCAGAGAGAGAGGGCGAAAAATACGACCGGGATTTAATATATATATATATTTTTTATTTTTCTTTTTAAATCTAACATTTTATACTTGATTTATAAGGCAATTTTAAACATATCAGACATTTTTACTGTAAACAATCTCATGAGAAAGTTCTACCCCCGTGTCACGTGACATCCTGATCACTCGCCACCAGGTGGCGTGATGGATGAGGCCGTTGAAACCACCCCTGGTGACAACAACAGAATGTCATCGCATTAGCATCATTTATCCTCTCTCTCTACCTTCAAAAATAATTATTTAAGTCGCTTTTTTTTCTCTTTCTTTTCTTTAAGTATTTATGTATATAAATAAATAAAATTTGAAATATTTTTTTAAAAAATTATATTAACGAATTAAAATGAAATTACTTGCCGCTGGGAATTATTCTTACGGGGGTGGAAAACGATCGAGATTGATCGCTCCCAGTAAAGCGATACAACACGTGTAATTTCTTATTGAATAAATAAACTTTAAAATTAATTTTAAATCTGAATTTCGTTAGAATATCCAATTTCTTGTTTACTTAAAATGAACAGCCACACAAGAAAACTCCTCCTCCATCGACTTAAAAATAATTATATTTTAAAACCTCAACTGTAAATTTTACTTAAATATATACAAGAAAAATCCTTAAAACATTTTTAATTAACTTAATAAATAAATAATAAATAATAAAATTACTTTCGTTCTCTAGAAAGTATCGTAATTGATAATCATTTG